TCCTGCTGTGTGAACAGGACTCTGGAATAATGACACTTCAGATAATATAAAAGGACATAAGAAACCTTATCTCTCTGCATGGTCTTTGAGGCTAAATGAAACAAGAAAAATAATGTATTTCAAAGTACTTCATCTTTTAATCATGCACGCATCTTAATTTTTTTTCCTCAGCTTGTAGCATGAAGTAGGTATTGTTTTAGTTAGTTACGCATCAGGAGAAAATCCATTAGGACTGTGCACCCTGTTTATAACTTAAATCTTTGACCATGAATAAACTAAAGTAATTTCTGCCATTAGCTTATTATCTGACTGACAGATCAAGCTGCTGCTTACCTCTGGTAACGACTCCTTCTAAGTGAACAACATTGGGGTGGTCAAATTGTCCCATGATGCTTGCTTCACACAGGAAATCTCTCCTTTGCTTTTCAGTGTAGCCAACCTTCAGAGTTTTTATGGCTACTGCAACATCTCTCTTGCCAGGAAGCTTTAGACGTCCACTGCACACTTCACCAAACTCTCCTAAAATGAAGTAGATCAACACTGAATTACTCTGACTATAATATCAATACTCTTTACAGGTCTTGATTCTGCTAGCTGCTTAAGTACGTGTTTAAATTTAGCGTATGAATATTCATATTTTAAATGGATTACTTAGGAACACAAAGTCAGGCACATGCTCTACATTAATTGCTGAGTGAATACATAGCAGAACAAACATATGAAGTTAAACCAATCTACAGCATTGCTATCTCAATCTTTGTAAAACACTTTTTAGTAATTTATTGGTCTTTTTTTTTTTTTTTTTTTTCAGAAATAGGAAATAAAAATGAAGTTTCCTTCATAAGAAAATACTACTACAGAAATAGTAATACCATCTGAATTGAAAATGTTTTTCAGTTCTAGATGGTTTCATCACTATTGTTAAGATTCTTTTTTTTTTCCCCTTTTTAAAAGACACCTCTTTCAAAGCTGCTTTTAATTTAACATTGTTACGGTGTTAAATGAAGCACTACATTATTACTTTCAAGAAGGATAATTTACTTTGCAGATTATAAAATTAAAGGTGTGAATTATAATATTTTTGTTACGTTAAACAAACACAAGCAAATGCTGGAATTCGGTAAAAGGTTTCTAAATTAAAAGATAATTGCAACTTGAAGAAGCATGTGAAAAAAAAAAAAGGCTAATCTGCAAGAACTAAAATAATAATAATAATAAAAAGGTCTCAGAAACCATAATTTAGGAGAGAAGTAATTGGACTCATTCGGACAGGAAACTGCATTGACATATATGAGATGTGGATCTCAGTGTCAATACATATGTCTCATTATTATTATGTAGATTGTGAAAGATTTAAGGATTGCCCCTTGCCTCACAGCAGCATCAGCAAGGAGAAAAAGAGAAATCCCTATTCTGTTGCCAGAAAGAAAAGTTTCCTGGGACATACACAAGAATATGGTGGTAACATATTTTACAGGGAATAAAGCAAAATACTTTCTAACAAAAAGGAAAGATTCATTGCAGAACATCTAGTAGTCTGGCACTTTGTAACTTTATCTGGAATGTGGGAGAGGAAGAACGAAGTTCCTTCTCCAAATCCAATCAAGTCTGACATTTACCTCCAGCATACCTGTGGAATGTCTTAACATTAAACTATTGAGTACACAGAAGTATGCAGACACACCTACATTTAAGACATGTTTTAGGATGAGCTAAAAAAAACAGTGATAGAATTAGGAAAGACTGACATAGACTGTTTGATTAGAAAATCCTTTTGAGATAAAAGCTGAAGTCCTGAGAAACCTGCTGGGATGGCGAATGGCAGAGCAGAATGAGTGCCTGGAAAGTGCCTAAGGAGATAGATTCTTAATTGTCCTAATTTATAAATGCTAAGAAATTTTGTTTGAGACGTTATCACTGTTCCAGCACTACTGTTTTCCTGACACTCCCAACAGCAGAGCTTGGAGAAGATAAGAAACAGCACTTGGGCCTCAGCTTTGCAGTCCCTCCAGCCCACAGGAGTAGAACTTTGGCCAGACCATATTTCCTACTGACTTGTCTGGGCAAATCTCCACTCAGAATTGCCAGTTTTGCAAATCTCACTGGAGATGACTGCATACATAACCAAATTCCTCTCTCTCTGTTGTGTGCTAGCTGAAATTAAGGTTAGCTTCCATCAATTCCAAATACCACTCTAAATACACTGATGTATCTCAGCTAATCAGGCCGATGGGGATGTTGTTCTTGTCCGAACAGAGGAGGCATTAGGCTCAATTATACTCAGGCAATGGAGTTATGGTATGAACACCCAAGTCACAGCTATGAATATTAAAAGGCAGGGACATACGTAATGATCAGCTGATGGATTTCTCATGTCCTTAGATTAGTGCCTTAACCTTCCTCCTGCACTTCATTAGCGATGTTGATGACTATTAATGAATTCACTATTCACTTTAATCACTTTAATGTCTCTAACCACAGTAACTGACTAAAGGATAACAATTTTCTCTCGCAGTAGCTTCTGGAACTGTTTTTATCCCATACTGTGTGAGTACTCATAAGACATGAGTATTTGTATGTGTTTGTACGTGATACTTCAGTGCCAGGTAACTGGGATACTTGGCATGGAAGACACTAAGGCTTTCTTAGTGTCTTCCAGCTATCCTTTCCAGCTCTCTGGTATCTGATTTTGATTGATTTCCAAAAGCAGATCACTCATACTCAGGCAAACCAGAAACTTGTACGTGTATATTATGCATTTCAGGACAGGCTGCCAGCCAAATAACTTTTTTTCCCAACAAAGCAATATATTTAGCTGAAATGCTGCCCAAAATGGACCCAGAAAATATGACAAGGGTGTGAACACTGCACAGCCGACAGCCACTAGCTCAGCATGTCAACAAGGAGCAGGCTATGACAAAGGATCTGCAATAGGAACAAAGACTCCACACAGTGGGCACCATAATCTGTATCTGACAGGTGGCCACAGCAGGATGGTAATGAAAATGTTGGCAAGTAAAAAACATAACCCTCATGCAAACTGAGCACAAACATACTTGCAGCCTGTTTGTCTGAGAGAGACAGGGCACTACTCAACAGGTGAGGTGGACAGCATTGCTGGTACACATTGAGACTGCTAAGTGGCTTTTCTGGTGCTGTCACTAGCAGCAACCCTACACTCTTCTTTGATTTACAAGTTTCAGCTGCTTCTTTTAGTCTTCAGTGTTGTATCTAGATTAGATTTCATTTCATTCTACATTCATTGGGTAAAGCCATAGCTAAACCCCCCTTATACAATATATCTTCACCATAGTACTTCTAAATAACTTTCTTTAGAACGGCCACTCTCACAGGTTTTTTTGCTATTAGTTATACTAATTAAAATAAAAAATAAATTAACCTGTCAACAAAATTAACATTGTGGATTTCCTTTGCCATAACACTGAAAATATTAGTGTCTTAAACTGTATCCTTTTTGCAAGTGAAGCATTTTCAGCATTTTGCTCAGGCTTCAGAAAGTCCAACAACATATCATCATGTTCAGAACTCTTGCAATGCTGATAGTTTTTTAGCTCAAAGCAAAAGATAAAACTCTGTAATTTTTCTGTGCTAATCTAGATTTTTAATCTTGTATACTGCATGTTTGTTAGAAGAGATGTTGCCATTCTAGCATCACAGAAAATTACTAGGGATTCTTATGCTCTTACTCATCTGAAACAGTAATTTTCTCAAGCAGTGTTGTTAATTATGATGGTACAAGTCCTTGATAAAGACATGATTCAACAAGAGTGAGGTTACTTTAAAAATGTGTTGTGAATTCTAAGTGTAAAGATTTTTCTGCTAAAAAAGCTTATTTTAGAGAACTTTATTATTCTCTTTTAAAATAATACTGCACTATGTAATTTACAGTCATGCCAAACTATAGGGTGATTTTAGAAGTATTCTACTAATACTTTTATAAAACAACAGGAAAGCAAAAGAACATTTCCTCCAGGAATCCCAAGTATTTGATGTTTTTCTTACCCACAGAAATTTAATTTCACTACATAGAGTAGTGCAATAAAAATGTCACGTACCTTATTAATGCAAACAAATGAAACTGCTTTTTTAGAGCATGAACACCATGACTTAAGTAGGTGGTAGACAGTTCAAGAGGAAGAAAAGCAATGTAATGCTGGTGCAATTACAATCAGTCACGAGAAGTTAAACAATAACTTTTTGTCTTCATAAAATATCAAAAAGAAAAATGGCAGAACAGAAAACAGCCTTAGGGAAGATTTTGTTCTACAGAAACAAGACCTTCCTAGTCTGTATGTAAGATTTTGTGCTGCAGCCAGTTTTCCTTACTAACATGAAGAAAAAATGAGAGGCCAAAAACCCCTTTTGTAATAGGAAAGCAAGTAGAATTTGCAATCATGCCTAACCCATTTATTCTGGCAGTAAATAATAAAAGCAAAATCACTTCCCCTGCCCCCCCCCCCCTCCTCCCCCCCAAAAAATGCATACTAAACAGTAGATATAGAAATTAAAAACTCACAGCCCTTCAATGTCAAATAAAATTCTTCATATACTTATTGAGCCTTTTTTGTGTCTGTTTTTAGCTTTTTGTTTCCCTGTTTGTTGTTACATTTTAGAAGCAAGTGTAGCTTCACTGCTCTTAACCACTCTGGTGAATGCAAAAAGTTCTTCTGTAGAGGAGGTATAATTATTTGCCTGTCATTATGATGTATGAGTTTCCATCCTGGCTAAATGGAACAGTTGAATAAGGAAGCCACGGCAGCCTTACCTGCACCAATCACACGCTCAATTTTAATACAAGAGGCATCTAGCTCCTTGGCGAATTGATGGACAGCTCTATTTGGGTCCTCGTAGGTTTCAGGGTCAATGTAGGTTTTGGTGCCTGGAAATTTAACTGTAATGATGTAAGAAAGCATGACTGTGATGAAGCAAAGGCACTTATTATGCAGTCAGCCCAGGAATTTCATTATGCAGAGTGCTTCTTGGAAGAATGAGCCTGCTTCCACAGCGTCTGAGTCAGCCACTCTGAGAGGCAACTTTAGTTTTAGGCATCATCTGTAAGCATGCTGACACAAGTGCACAATCCCAGCTTTAAAAATGACTAACATTAGCATTTTCACCTACACCTCCGAGTGAAAGAATAAACATTAAATAACATTCAGTGGAACAAAATACAAGGCCTGAGTGGGAGTAAAAGCAAAGTGAGGCTGGGGGAGAGAGCAGGGAGGGGGGCTATAAGGGAGGTGAAACTTTCTTTTCTGTGTAAAGACAACTTATTCTCGTTTCCCAGATTGAGTAAACAACATTTCTTTACATTATCTCTTTCTTCTACAGGGATTTGAAAAGCTCCTCTACCTACTTCAATTTGTTTAAACCACTGAATATATTTCCAGATTCCGGCAGTAGCCAAGCTAAATTATTCACACTTCTTGGAATTTATATCCTTAGGTATGTGTCTTACACTACAATATGAACATAAGAAACACTTGTAATCAATGTGTAAAGGCACAGATGCTGTGGAACAATTACCTCTCCCAACTACCTAAGTGAATAAAATGTAGCACTTGGGTTCTGCTCCCTCATTTTCCAATACAGTTCTTAGTGTAACTTAGGCAGCATAGTGCTCTGGCCAGCAAACAGTGTTTTCCTTTTCCTGCTGATGCAAGAAAATTATTTGCTCTTCTTTTGAAAGCAGAAACTTCTGGTGAAAGTAGAGCAACCTGAAAATCTATTAACCAAGCAATTTTTATGAAATTAATTTGACTCTCAAGGATTACAGTTCTGGGTTTTAATTAAATCAGCAAATTAAAACTCAATATGGAAAAGCAATAATGTTCCAGTGCTAAATGATGCACTGATATACATGAACTGGAACAAAAGTCAATACATAACATAAATAATTTATAGTTGCTTTGTAATCTCTTAATTGATCGTAAAATATTTTAAATATCAAGATATACTGAAAAATGGCTTCGTAATCACATGTTTTTACGTGTCAGATTGCATTATTGATAAAAACATAAAATTAAAAACTTGTATGAAGAAAAAGCTAAAGTAATTGACTGAGGAATCTAGTGAATTTGCATATAGAAAAATTATTCAAGATTTTGCCCAGATGTTATTGCTTGAGATATTATGTACTCAAATGTTTTTTCAATTGTATTGGCAATGCTACAGATTTTTAAAAATATACGTATTTATTAAAACCAAAAAAAGAACACAGAAAAGGAGAATAAATCAATAGATTAAACTCCTATAATAATGCTTTCAGGCAAGGAGATGGAGAATGAGCCATCCTCATTGTATTTCTGATAAGAGGCCTGGATTGGAGGTAACCTTGTGAATCTCAAATGGTCCTCTGATGGTTCTTTATTCAGGTTGTCATAAAACATTTTGACAGGCCAAGGCTATCACAGAATACCAACACGAAATAGAGCTGGCATGGATTTGAAGACACTGTTAGAAGGTAGGAGGAAGCAAAATGTAAATTTGAATTGCTTGAGTAAATTCCTCCACTGTTTTTAATGTTTAAATGTAGCACTTGGGCCACAGAAAATTCAGGGGGACAGAAATAAAAGATAGGATATTCTACTAAAAGCACTACTTTAAAATTTGTTATAAAAATAGTTACTTGCAAAGTTTTGTGTTAAATGTTTGCTGTAAGTTAAGCTTTTGGAAATCCACTGTGGTATCTCTACATATAAGAAGGTTGCCTACAGGTCCTGTAGCAGAAAGATGTCACAGTTCTGTTCACAGCTCTGTGAACCAGCTGGTTACCAAAGCACAGTGTTCCATCTTCTTCTGCTTATGAGTATCAAACAAAATAAACACTAGGCTGTCACTCAATAGATGATGAAAAGCTATATTGGTAAAAAATGACTTACATTTGGCACTATAATTTTTAAAAAGACTGTGTATGCTAACTGTCCTGACTTATGTTCTGGATAACCAGATTTCTCCAAAGCGAAATAAGAGAAATAAAGATTTCTCACAATTTCTAGATCAACTATTAAATGTTAAGTAGCAGCTTTCGTGTTAATTTGCTTACACTTCCACTGAAACAAAAAACATAATAGATAATGGAAATGAGGTGAGGGATTATTTAGCTACCATCTTCCCTTTGTTTATATGCTCAAATACAAGAATACATAGTAAATCTTTTGTTTCAAGGACATAATGTGGATTCAAAAAGTGAAAGCAGTAGCTCTTCTGAAGATGTGAAAAGCTTATAGTGCATCTGTGAGAGGAAAATTTCAAAACCATCACTTCTAGAATAGAAACATTTAAGTTATATCAGATCTTCGATGAACTCTTTAAAATCAGCTGTTCTGCAAAGTGCATGATAAATAAGTCTTATCCCATTATTATTTTCCACCTTTCTTGTACAGATTATAAACTGATTGATAAAAGCTGCAATGTTGTCACTGCTTGGTTTAGCACTCACTGCATTTAAATGAAATGATTTAGGTAGCAGCACATCCATACTCACAGATTCCATTTGATCTGATTCTGTCCAGGTAGAAAGGTGAAATAAACCTTGATCTGATTTCCAGTGGATATTTGGCTAGAGCTACTGCTTTAGAGTTATGCACTGAGAAGATACTATAGATTTTTGACTAGTGGCTACTTCTTTCTCCATATGTCATCACATTCCAATAGTAGGTCATGATTTCAATAAATATAAAACCAGATAAACCTCACTGCTTTCATAAAAAGAAAATCAGATGGATTTAAACTACAGCTGTTATTGCTGATAGACAACAAAGGTTACATACAGCACAGCAGGACTACATGGCATTGTCTAGCAGTATGAAAATTGGAAACCCAGGCTTTTTTGGGGGGAGAGGGGATGAGGTCAGAAATTGCATACAGTTTAATTCTGTTATGTGTTTTTGCAATTTGAACACACAAAATCATTTTGTAACTTAGTTTAACTGTGTACTTCCTGAGTTAATGGCTAATTCTAAAACTATTTCAATTTTTTTTTTTTATTTATTATGTCAAAATGACAAAACTGAAATGAGAAAGGGCTAAAATGTAAAAGTTTTAAAAATAATTTTCTGATACAACTGAAAATATTCTTTCTTTTTTTTACTGCACAAGCCCTTTTCTCATCCTACATTTTCTATTGTCATTAAGGAAGATTTATTTTATTATTTTATTGAATTTTCCCGGAGTTCTAGCATAAATTCAGATGGCAGCTAAAATTCTGAAAAGAGAGACTTTGTCTGCTATTCTTTGCTAGGAAAGTGATTTTAGAACACAGAACAATAGTAAAACATCCAATCTTTCTTTTCCTGATAAATAATTTAAGGACATTGTTGAAAATACTGATACTATTGCATTTGCAGTTGCGGAAAACAGCTTTTGAGAAATGATGGAAACAGTGACTGCCACTTTCTTAATCTGAAGTTTGCTTAAGGTAAAAATCATATAGTAACTTAGCCAAAGACCTCTCAAATATCGCATCTCAGAGAGATCATTAGGACAGCATGAAGTATATTCAAAGCAACCCATCAAAAAACACTGAATGAAAAAAATAGTTTATCATATGCATGTATAAAAATAAAACTATACGAGCAATGCTGACTTAAATCAGCATTCTTTTTCTGTAGGTCACATTTTTACAGTGTTTAACTTGCTATTTACATAGCATTTTTGAATTTCTTTGAACTTTGCAATTCACAGAATACTATTTTAGTACTGCCTACAGTAATGCAGTTGGGAATTTTTGAAAGGGACAAAAAAAAGCAGAACACTTACAATGAAAGTAAAGCTCTTCATCCCCTTCTTGATCAGCTTTGCTATAGCCACAATGCCTGAAAGGAAAGATGTCAGTTTTACTGGTAAATAATGATTTACTTCCTCACATCTGAAGTCCTGACAACATCAGTTCTTTGGGCTGGGATTTTCAGGCCATGAGCACCTAACTCCTGAAGGCCCTTTGAAAGTTTGAGCTATAATTCTCTTGACAGCAGAGGTTTAAATAAATCATGAACAGTTGTAATCAAAAGGCTTTTGTATCAAATACTAGTTGGGACAGGTCCTAAAGAACCTTGTTCTTGTGAAAAGCTTCTATGGATAAAACAGAGGATTAAAGAACTTGAAAGTAGAACACTACTTTACATGAGGGTATTCTTAACCTTACTGTGCCTCTTTTTCTTGAATGCAAAGTCATTTAAAGGCTGATCAGATAAAGTGTCAGGCTTCTCTGTGTGAGAGAAACTAAACAGAAAGGAATTTTCATGAGTACAAGTAAAGAATGTGGTAAGGGTTCCTTTTACAGCACATTCACATCAGACTGAAAGAACATCTTGATTTAAGAGTGTCCTGGATAAACTGTATAACTGATAACAAGATTTAAACAAAAAATGTCCTTACTAACCACGAGTTCCATTTCAGATTTGCAAATTACCATCTTAGATGTTCTTATGTAAGGTGCAATACCTTCGCCCGATGATGAATCCAAACACCATGAAGACCAAAATGATGGTTCCCGCCACAGCAACTACAGCTATGATAATAACAGGATTCTGTTCACTGGAAACAGCGGTGGCTGCAAACAGGGCAAAGAGCAGAGATTAGCTTAAAATTATTCCCTGCAAAAGAACTGCAAAAAATTAAATCGACCTTAATGAATTGCAGATGTTTAGTTCACTTTTTTCGTTACCCAAGACTATTAAATTGATTAAGTTAATATAAAGAAAGGCCTCTATCAGAAATTCATCCCTGATCATCAACAGGGAATAAAAAGGAGTTATGTTGGAATTGCTCAAAGTGGTACAACCATCTCCTAAAAGTCATCACCAACCATTTCAGTTTGTTGAAAGCCAGCATCAACCCTCCTACTGCTGCATTTTGTTCTGCTTTGCTCAGACTAACTCCTTCCTAAGAGAGAACAAGACATCCCTGAAAAAGAAGACAGCAGGAGAATGAATGCTGAAGAGCTTCACTTCTAGCCTCACCCCTAAAACTGGTTGAAATGACTTTGATGATATTCCTAAGAAATAGTATCATAAGTATAATAAGAATTTTTAAGATGAAAGATTATCTATTACCACAGACTTCTTAGCATATTTCTTTCTTATTACTATTAGTCGTGTAAATTGTTATTATCACTTAAAATATGTTTCTGTTAGCAATGAAAAAAGTGTTTCCACAAACACAAAATGGAATTCTCCATGCTTCAGAGATTTTACATGTTAAAATATCCACACACTATTGCTCTTTTTATTCAGTTATGCCAGTGTTATTAATAAATGCAAATGTATGCATGTCACATTACTTTAAACTGAGGGCGTAAATACATAGCCTGAGAAACCACAAAGTTTGTTAAATACTGTACTTGCCACTCATCTAATGAGGGTGGACCTACACTTAGCTGCATTAAATGAGCACAACTCTACTGAACATTATGGAGCTATGCTGATTTATAACAGTGAGTATCTGGCCTGGCCCAAGAGGCTGAGAATAAAGGAGGAGGCATCAGGCAGTGATAATGAGGTAGGGACTGTGAAAGTGTGAGTCATTTGGAAGCAGCAGAAAGGTGTGGAAAAAAAAAATACTCTCAGCTGATTAACTAAACTGTAGATGGTATGTTAATACAGTCAATTGATTAAGTCATGGTTGTGCTAACTAAAGACGACGATTTTATGAATTCCACAGAATCTTCCTCTTGTAGTTTTCACAGGTTCCCATAGAAACAAATACACTAGTCCTTTCCATACTCTGTCCTAGGAGAAGTGAACCAATCAACATGATTTATTTTGTTACTGATCTATGCTACATGCTTCCCCCTTAAAATAACAATCCTCCTGTTCTGTTAAACAGTGTAAAACAGCACCTCTGTGTTGAGATTAAATTTCCTTCTCCCCTAGTTTTATTTCCTAAAGAAACTTTATAATTTCTCAATGTTCTACATGATGCAGGCGAGGAATATCTCATTATTCATATTGGGCCTTAACTGAAAAGAACATGAGTTAAGTATAACCTCCTGAGATATTCAGGTCAGCAAGGTGCTACCAAAGGCCTGCACTTATCCCATCTGTGCAATGTTTAGGAAATTAGTGTACTCTTGTACAGGAGAGTATGGGCCCAAGTAATACAATTCAGTTCCTATGTAACACTGACTGCCCATCAAATGACACAGCCTTAAACACAGGTATGTTGAGTTTATGCAAAATTTCCTAAAACTTTATCATTCCTTCTTTGAACTCCCATGGAAAACTTACTTGGAAGTGAAAAAGTAGCCATCTTGTCCCATTGGCTAGTGTGCAAAGTTGTATCCATCTAACAGTTTGGAATAACACCCACTCAAACTTGTCACCTAATCTAGCAGCCAAGTTAAGTGCATAGAGGTTGACATATGTGAGTGGGTTGCTCTGCATATCTGCCTCAAGATGTTGGATACCAGCACATTCTGGAGGCAAGCCGAGGATGTTATTTGGTCTCTACAAAATGTTGGGGGCAGAGTAAACTGTCCAACTGGTAAGATAGGTGGGATGTAGTGCATGATGTACTTTTACATATTTGAAAAAAAAAGCTCTGGTTGTGGGCATGGTCTGGTGAAAAGCTAGTGACAGCAGTCTGAGACATCTGCCTCTGTTCATGTACTGTATCTGTGCTGCTTCTCCTTGTTGTGTTATGAACTCATGCTGTTACTTGGCTTACACGCAATTCAGATTCCAACTTCTGGAATGTGGTCTGGCAGAAATAAAGATGTAAGAGTGCTGTGAGAGAAAAGATTTTGGAGTGCAGATGGCATGGCTGCCATCCACTGGTGTTGCCACAGAGGTGGTGGCAGGAAAACATCAGCAAGATGGAGAAATTTGTCCTCGCCTCCAGTTAAGCTCAGACTCAGAAGGCAAGAGAGGGAGTAACTACAAGTGACATCTGACATTACAATATCTGCTAATCCAAAGGAATGAGGCAGTCCTTACTTTAAAGAAGTTAAGGCTACCTTCTAAGTATATGGTTGAAAGGATGGGGAATGTACACCCATATATCCTGGAGAATTTAAAAGAGAAGATTAATTGTAAAAGCTGTACTGCACCTCCAGCAACATTTCTTTCATGCAGGCAACCTGAAATGTATGAGCTGCAGAAAATACTTTATGAAATAAACATGAAACATGAACATGAAAACTTCAATAAAGTGATTTAAGGTATCTTTCAAGTAATTCAGTGAATCAAAAGGTAAAATTACCACTTAAGTGACATTCTTTGGATCTGCATTTTCTTCCTTTAGGACTTTTCTCTAATAAACAACAGAGGTTCCAAGAACAAAATACAGTGATTCGGGTACTTAGTTCTGAGACAATTATAGTACAGAACATAAATACACTGCCTTCATAAAGCATTTTCGCTTTATAATTTTTTATTTTTTTTTAAGATAAGCATGTATATGTAGTCCAACGTATATAATATGCATGAATACAGGTATTAAATATATATATTTTACACATAAGGTTATATGATGTAGTTGTTTCTCAAATACTGAAAAGTGGCCATGCAGTTTTGATTATGATACAAAAATCTGTTAAGTCAACTGCACCAATCAAGAGGTGCTAAACAGCTGAAATATCAGGTGAAATTGTGTACACAACAGGGCTAGTTTTAAAAGCCACATTCAGAAAGTCAGTGGAATAAGTAGAAAACAGTGCCTCTTAAATGTAGTGTAACATGGGTTTACTTCTCACTTGTACAGTGCAGTATATTTCATAAAAGTGATCCACTAATGTTCTTCTTATAAAATACTAATGCATGCCCAATTTTATTAACCTGCCAGATCTGATAAAACTACAAATAAAATATGAGAAACAAAGATTCTTATTTGCATGAGAATTCTACAATAATTTGTTAAGTATGCTATCTTTTAACCAACATTTTAATTATTTCTGAAAATTATACATGGAACAATGGAGTTGCTTATCATTGATGGGAACTGCATCCTTTACTCTCAAGAATATTGAAAATATGCCACTTCTGAAATTTTCTTTTGTGAAAGCACATGACATGGAATGTCAAAAAACAAAGCTAGCCTGTGACAAGAGAAAAAATCTGGTGTGCATACTGGCCAAGTATGTCATTGATTTATATGTATCCTTTCATCACCTGGACTGAGAAAAGGTGTACATGATGCAAAAGGGCCACATTTATTCTAGGATTTTCTATTCTTCCATAAATTAATCAAACTCCAGTCAAGGCACTATTCTTTAAGGCTTATCTCAGAAATGTTCTTTGTTCATCTTAGTGGTTACTACTATTCTTACATGCAGTAGGAAAGTACTCATGTCATTAATGAAGTTTTGGAGAACCATTTTGGCCTAATAATTTTAAGCAACTGTGGTTAATTAGTACAAATCTATGACAGATTGCAAGAGCCTTTAAATATTTTTTTTTTTCCCAGAAATTTACTCAGATATGAAATTACTTCTGTCTGTAACTCAGGATACTGTTGCTTGTATCTCAGAGATTTCACTGAATCTGACTGCCTATGCAAAGCAGAACTCTACAGATGAAAAGCATGCTATCAGACACAGAGCTAATGACATTGGTCATAATATTTTATTGCTACTATTATGATAATTACTATTTCAATTAAGTCTATCAGGTATATGCTATTACTTCTTATTGATAATTTTCATATCCTGTGTGGAAGGAAGATTAAGACCTAACTACTGTTTTTTAAATATACCCACAAACTCTTCAGGCGACACCTGGCTGCAGTTAAATAAGATGCAATTATGCGTATGTGCATAAAGCACAGAGCAGAGCTGGTATCCATAGCTTTTGAACCTGTAGGCTATGTATTTTCAGCTCCAAACTAGGCTGAGCTGCTAGGCAGGTCAACCTGAAGCAAATGACTCAAACCCAAATAACCAAATTTTTATGCAAGGGACATGGGCAACTCCCATCAGCTGGCTGGTGGCTACCAGCTCTCAGTGATAACAAAAGTTTCCTTCTGAAGACTCAAAATGTCGAAGCATGCATGCACATAACTACATGATGAGTAGTGCAAAATGTGTCAATGAAATTTCTAGACAAACAAGGGTACGTGATTGGCTTCAGCATCAAGAAAGAGCAAGCTCTCCCAAAATACCTCCCTGCTGAGTTGTCACAGACAGAATCTCTGGTGTACTGTATGAGCAAGTTCATGCTCCAGCTTCATACTTTCTTTTGTGAGGATTTAAGAAGACTGTTTTTTTCTTTACACAGCTTACTGCTTATTACAAGAACTTTAGAGAAATCTAATGTCTTTGAGACCTCTATTTCTTTACTAAACATAAGTGAAACTGAGCTCAGAAGATAATAAGAATAGACATATATCTGAAAAAAGACAAACACATATGTAAACAAAACTGTATAAAAGTTTGTTTGTTTGTTTTCTTTTTTTTCCTAGGAAATTACACAGAAAAAGAAGCCTCCATGGGCTGTATCTGTTCTTCCTTTCTCTCCTCAGTTACTGAAGAATCTAGAAGAATTGCTCAGCTCATATAATCTCTTATGAGAAGGGAATAGATGTGTGCTCAAAATTAAAAATAATAATAATAATAATTCATTTTCTCTGCACTAGAAAGACATCAGAGAAGAACCCAATGTTACAAATATATTGGATATTTATAAGAGTGCAATTTGTAG